TTCTATGTGTGTGTGTGCGTGTACATCTGTCTGCAATTTTTCGTCAGATTCTCTTGAACGCTTTCAGCTTTATCTTGCTTCCACTTAATCAAGTACACGTGGAATTACGAAAAATGAGCTTTATTTTTCTTCCTCAGTTTAGTTTTTTCGATAAAAGCCATCGTATTAAATTTTAAATACAATTCAGAATCTAGATATTTGGTCGATTAATGGTTTTCTCGGTTTTTTTGATTTGAAGGAACAGCGTTTATCCACAATTTCTGTATATTTTATTTTACTATTTATAAGTTCATTCAAGTAGCATAATGGAATAGTTAAATTATTTTTTATCAGTTTCATGTGTTTCTTCTCATGTTTTCATAGTTATTTCTTCATCTTTTGCACTCTAAGTGGAACATCTAACATCAAGTTTCAGTACATCGGTGGCACAGTGGTTAGGACTCTCTTCGACCATGAACATGGTCCGAGGTTCGATCCCCTGCCGACTCACACCTGATATCTATGGTCGGCCTGCAAAATTTGGGCTACCGATATCCATGCTGAAAATTCCATACTTGCACCAAAAATACGGTGTGGAATCAAGCTGTAATCAAAATAAAATACATCTGTTATTGTTTATTTACAGAGTGAGATTTCTAGCCGCAAATCCAGATTTCAGAGCCAACTATCGGCTAAGAGAGGTTAAGGGTGCGTCATTTGGTAGACTGTTACGGACCACATGCGTGGCTGGCGAAGAACCGACATGCCCAGTTCTCTTTGCTACTGGACAAAGAACCTCCAAAATGACATCAGTAGGAATGGTTTATAACATATTCTTATCGTTAATCAATAAAAAATTGTAAATCTTTTTTACAGAAACCTTTAGATCCTGTATATCTGTTCACTTAGTTTCTTTGAAAACGGGAAGTTCAAAAGAGACTCTTTTTTAATATCCTAAAAGTCTTGAAAAGCCTTATAAGTAATTTTAAGGCATTGATTAGCACAGCTTGCATATAAGTCGATGATGTTTCAGATATGAATTTGGTTCCCACTGCTCAAAATCTGCGTCACCTCAACTATCATTTCGCTACTGAGACACAGCCCCTTGTTTTCTTACGAATATCGTTAACACCTTATAATAATGGTCCATTGATACTTTTAAACTGTTCCACTTCGTATATACTTAATTCTCTTCACTCTATAGATGTTATTGATTTTAACATTGTCTATACCAAGCAATTTCAATGAATGAGCTTTATTCATTCTGTTCATTCTAATATTCACCTTGTAGTGAGTTAGTTATTGTTCATATACAAAAATGAAAGTTAGTAAACGAATACTCTAAGTTTCTAATAAGAAGCCATTGTCGGTAGGGTTCGCCTTATCAGAATAAAGCAGATAATCAGTCTATGTCATTGGTTGGCAGTTGCACCATATCACGAATTGACAGCGACTGAATAATCCTCTAGCTCCATATTAGTTTGTTTATTGAATATATCACACAGTGAAACAGTACTGTATACTGGATGACGTTTCGAACACAATTTATTGTTCATAATCATACCAATTTTGATCACACGACTTCGAGATTTGATTTTTATAGTTTTCTCTGTCTTCTCCTATTTGTCGTATGGGCAGTAGATTTTTCCATATATCTGGGACAGGTGTTGAATCATTCCTATTACATGTATTTGCAGTTGATTCGATAAACAAAGCTTCTGTTATCAATCGCTCCCTCCACCCAACTGTGACATTAGATTTTAAAACTGTCATCCTATCCCATCCTATTGTATGGTTGTGTGTGACTGCATGTAGTGCTATAGCTGAACTACTCTCTAGATTTCTTATCTTATTCGGGTCAAACAATCTAGATTTAGCTACCCAGTATACAATACTGTTTCACTGTGTGATACATCTAATAAACAAACTAAAATGAAATTAGATTTAGCTAGGTTTTTATGTTCGGCTAGTCTGACTGCCCCTGTTCTACCAGTTTGACCTTTGTATTTACTGTTGATGATTTAGATTCCTTATTGTTGGTGTCGTCATTAATATTATTACTATCACTATTATTATTACCATATTCCATACAAGGAAGGAACCTCGGAAGCCTTACGCAGAATTCTTAACAAGGCAGGAATAAAAGTGGCTGGCATTCAAACCACCCACAAGCTCAATTAGAAACAAGCTTTGTCGGTTAAAGGATCAATCCTGTGGAGCCTTTAAAACAAAACAATTTAGTTTATCTAATACCCTGCAATGATTGTGAGGTCAAATACAAAGGTCAAACTGGTAGAACAGGGGCAGTCAGACTAGCCGAACATAAAAACCTAGCTAAATCTAATTTCATTTTAGTTTGTTTATTAGATGTATCACACAGTGAAACAGTATTGTATACTGGGTAGCTAAATCTAGATTGTTTGACCCGAATAAGATAAGAAATCTAGAGAGTAGTTCAGCTATAGCACTACATGCAGTCACACACAACCATACAATAGGATGGGATAGGATGACAGTTTTAAAATCTAATGTCACAGTTGGGTGGAGGGAGCGATTGATAACAGAAGCTTTGTTTATCGAATCAACTGCAAATACATGTAATAGGAATGATTCAACACCTGTCCCAGATATATGGAAAAATCTACTGCCCATACGACAAATAGGAGAAGACAGAGAAAACTATAAAAATCAAATCTCGAAGTCGTGTGATCAAAATTGGTATGATTATGAACAATAAATTGTGTTCGAAACGTCATCCAGTATACAGTACTGTTTCACTGTGTGATACAGCTAATAAACAAACTAATATGGAATTGCTTACTACCACAGTGCCCAAGTTTTACACATATATTAATCCTCTGGCTCGAATCGTAACCTGACGGTCCCAGATTCAATTCCCAGTGAAGGTTATGAGTTCGCATTGTTGAAGAATCCTAACCTAAAGCAAAACAGTCATGTAAACCTTCTTAGTTTTCACAGATTCTTAAGACAAAATATACCGTGAAAGTGGTATTAATTTTTGTTTTTGTGTAATAAGTGATGCTTGCTACTTATAATGTTTTTCAGTAGCTAATTGTTTTGCATTAAATGTCTTCTTGAGTTTGTATCATGCCAGAATAATTTTATATTTTTGTTTGAATTTTGACTAAGAAATAGAGTCATATATGTGATTTTTCTTTGCTAAATTTATGATCTCAACAACGGCAGAAAATAAGACAACAAAGTGCAGAATTTTCAATAACAACGATTAACTGTGAGTTCTATATCAGTAGTCCATGTAATGAACAGCTTTAGAATGACGTTAAACTCTTGTGACTATAACAATTTTCATATTATCACTGTTAGGATGGACAACCTATTGAACAAAAAGCTTTTTTCTATTACAATTGGTCTGAATATAATTAATTCACATAGAGAAATTTCCTCTTAGGGTTGAGGGATTAACATAGATCGACTAGATTCAAACAGTGACGTCACATATTTGACTGACATCTTTCCAAGTTATCTATACACACCCACACACGAACAAGTAGACATATGGAGGTGTATACAATCAAATATTTGCGACTAGTCAATATTATATGAAGAACACACAGGTTTTTTGTAATCAGACAAACCAAGGTCATGACCTTTATATTCTTTTTTGTCTGGGTTGACAGTTATATCACATGTTGGTTGTACTTTGAAGAAAAGTTTCTGTCTACAATTTAATTACTAGTATAGAAATAAAAAAATTAAAATAAAAGTCGAAATTTGAAATCTTTTTAAAATACTTTTGAGTAGATAATGTTGTTTTGAAAGTCACTTACTTTGTTTCCAAGCAGTTAACATGTTATATGAATGTGACAGTTTGGAGTTAAACATGAAGTTGATCTGGCAACCTCATGGCCTTGAGTTCTATCTCTGGTTGGGTCGTGGGCATACACTTCTGAAGATCACCAAACTAGGATGAAACAGCTGTCCAGTACTCTCTGATCCTCAGTTATTCCCTAAGTAATGTCGACTCTTGACGAAATCTTCATTGAAGTCAGTTCAAATCCCTGTAAAAACCCATAACCTAAGTTAGAAATGAAAAGAAATGAAGAGTATTTGGTTTCAGAAGAATGTTATTGCTTCGATGTGAACATAAAATTAATGAATGTGTGTAGGGGGTAGGGTGCTTGATGTCCATGTCACTGTGTGGATAATTTCTCACTTAGTTTATGAGTATCCCTTGTTAGGTCAAGTTTTGAATGACAAGCGAATCAACACCTCTACTGTGATTTCTCCGTATTCACAAGATGTTGCAACAAAGATAGTGGCTAGTGTGCTATTGAATTCTTGCCTATCAACAAGGTCAACGTGGTATACACTATCTAAATATCGATTTCTTGAATAACAACTAGTTTCTAATTATGGTATCGTCTTCGATTTTGGTAACCTGAAAACACATTTACAAAACGTGATCTATAATCCTGAAGCATCTTTACAAGCAAGTGCCTTGAATGTTTGAACAGAAAAATCGAAGTAATCTCAAGTCCAAATGCCTAATAAAGTGACTAGATTCAATTTAAATGCACCATTCTATTGGTTCGGTGTACGTCGGTGGTTCAATGATAATGTACTCGCCTGCCAAACACACATGCTCCTGTTTCTCTTACAAAGTCGACGTACTCGTAAACCTCGCTTAGGTGGTAGTAAGCCCGGTAAAGATGGAAGAGTCGGTGTGAGGTTGACAATTCCACCTTGTGAAAAACAGTACCACTTTGTCGAAAGTGTCAAAGCTCCAGCTTGAAGCCCTATATTCCGCTGGGAAAACAAAAGAATGAATTGGTGAACAAGTTACTCTGTTTTTGAGTCATTCAACTCTTGTCTGGTTTCATCTTTAGATCAACAGTATGTCCTCTCAAAGCACACTTGTTTTACAAAAGTGTATTTGAAATGCTATTCTGAAAAAATATTTCTATGTATGATTCTTGTTTTCTCTTATGCTTGCCTACTCATTTTTAATTTTAATTCTTTTTTCTCTTTTATCCCGAAAGGTGTTTTGTTTAGATTTAGTCTCTCATTTAGCCCAACATTACAATATTCAAGCAACTTTGGATCGTGCTGCATATATGATTGACTCATTGTATCACTTTCTGACAGGTATGTTCTTCATTACGATACTATTATTATTATGATTGGGTTGAAGTTTTACTGTTAATTTTTTCTCCAACTAAACCAGTAATGAATTTGAATCATACCTTGAATATATGTATAAGGTTCAGTAATTAAACAATATTAGGGTTCATAGCCTAGTTATTGTAAATTTTGAAGTACCTTACTCTGGTAGTTCAGGTACTTGACTATCAAGTAATTGTTTTGGACTTCTAATGTTATCTCACTGTTGTCCATCTAATTAGTTACGTTATCATTAGAAGATATGACTCATTTCTTTATGCATCAGGCTCTAACAGCCATACTTAATGTTCCGAAAGTTGATGGGACTCGAAGCCGAGACCCCTGACGGTGGAAACAAAGTGCTTAAGTCCATGACATACAACTTCATTATTCTGTAATACAATAAATTAACGCATATACATGCTAACTTTATTCATCTTCGGTCATTAGCTAAAAAGTAGTGTACTGTAGAGAATACCTGTGTGTATAGTTTTTTATTGATATCCTAGTCTACTGGGATGCTCACTGGATGTGTTCATCTAACTCGACATATAAGTGTTATACAGTTTGAAAGGATTAAACTAAGAGACAGACTAATATGATAAGAAAATCACTTAGTGAAGGTAGTTCGGTTGGAATTTTTCAATGACACAACTCAAAAGTCCATGCAATTAGAATAGATTTATTCTTTATTATCGTTGTTCCATCAGTAGACTAATAAACTACTGACCATGTACTCAGTTGACTAGGTTTTAGGAAGTAATTGTTGTTTGATTGTCAAAGAGAATGGATAAGGTTTATTCTCACTTGTATGCTGATGCGGCTCATTGGCTTAAAAATTAGGCTTTCAGGTAATTAACAGACAAAAGACAAGTAGTTCAGCGAAGAGTCTCTTTTCGGCGAATTCATCTTCATAGCTGTACAAACGCAAATATATATGGTTATTTTGTGTGTGTGTATACATTAAATTTGTCAAACGAAAATAAAGTTAGTAAGTTCAGATGAATTGGATGTTAATATAAGAGGATAGTAACAAAAGTGATAAGTTGTCATAAATGATTGTTTTCAGGTAATCGGTCATGGGTTTGAATTCTTCCCCACTTACTTCAGCCTGGGCAAGTGGGTAGTAATATCATCAGCCCTCACATGCGATAAGTGTGACTCACAGTCTACGACATGAAACACGTCTGAAGAAATGAGTTCACCACCACCCATTAGCAAGGAGTACCTGCAAAGAAGTGATGGCCTACACGCTTTCGAATACAAACACACACTCCGTGCTACAGTCTGAGATGTCACCAACAAGGTATCAGGGCATCAGAAGATTCATTGGTCACTCACTAGTGAGTAACCAATGATATGTTATGTATTTGAACAAAGCAAGAACTACAGTTTTAGCAGAATAATGTGGTACCATCATTTATTTCGTTGGCTTCTCATCAGCTGCTTACAGCCTAAATAAATTATGAGGTTTAAGTACAGACATGTTTTAACATACTTGCAAATTTTACATGTTGTCAGTTGACAGAAAATTCCACAATTTGTAAACAGTGCTCAGAAGATTGCGCTTATATAGTTTTCACACAGGCAGTTCAAGTTAAAACAAAATAAATGTATGCAGAAAATGGTAAAGGAGTTACGTAATAAAGATGAGATGTGCGTTAGATGCATAGTGACTAGTAAGTTAGGTAACAATGAACTGAGTTGAGCTCAAATCATAGAAACAAGAGACAAACAAAATTACAGATTATAAAAGGGAGGGTGAGGTTAAAGACAAAGATTACGTAATCAGATGAGAGAAAAAAGGCATCCAGTTACCAAGGCAAGGAAAGACTAATAACTGCTTCTTTCTGAACACATAGATCAGGTTTCAAGCGTTTGATAGAAATCGCTTCAGCAAACTTAAGGAGAATTGAGCTCTTTTGCCTATTGATAATTTTGAACGACTTTTGACGTCCACCTCATGACCCGTGTCGAGGAGATGCCTGGCGATGGCACTGTTTAGAGCATTTGTTCCCTTTAGACGTAAGCTTTTTGGTACGTGTTCAGAAAATCGTAGATATGCCCTTCTTTCTGTTCTTCCAATGTAACTGCTCCCGCAGATACACGTAAATTTGTATATACAGTTGGAGGTAACATGAGAAGGATATCTATCGATTTTTGATTGCACCAAAGAGCAAGTTGTTCGATAGATGGGAACGAGCTTGGCTGCAGGATAGGCTATGGCTAGTGATGTACTCAGCCTTCTGTTGATCATCGCTGCAATGTTTTCACCTTTATAGTCAAGCTGAACGTAGACTGGCTTTTTACCCACTGTGATTTGTTTTACATTTGTGACTTCAGATCTTCCATACTTGTTGATGAACTTTTGAGGATACCCATTTCTCTTCAATATCTTTTCAAGGAACTCAAACTCCTCCTCTAGTTTCTCTATAGAGCATATTCTCCTCGCTCTATAGTACAGAGTCTTGACTAGACCCCGTTTAAAGCTATTTGGACAAAAGCTGTTAAAATGCAAGTATTGTCCTTTCCATGTGGGCTTTCGATAAATTGACTTTTGAAGACTACCGTCTTCTAGGCGTTCCATGGCGATGTCGAGGAAGTGAAACTTTCCGTCACTTTCATGTTCCATAGTGAAATCAATATTGGCGTGTGCACCATTGAATAATCTTAGTAAGTGTGAAGCATGGCTTTCATTTTCGCACACTATAAATGTGTCATCAACATAACGACAGTAGGAAGATGTTTCGTCGATTGCATGTTTCAACTTTGTTCTTTCGAGGTTTGACATGAATATATCTGCTAGAACAGGGCTAAGTGGACTGCCCATAGCTACACCATCTATTTGGCGGTAAAACGTGTTGTCAAATTGGAATTGCACATCCATGGTACACATAAGCAGTAGGCGTTTGAATTCCGATTCTGGGAGTGGGAGAAGATCGGACTGCTGACAAATGATCTCAATAGTTTCATTGATTGGAATCATTGTGAATAGGGAGGTTACATCAAATGACACCATGAATTTATTTAGAACGTTCATGTGGTTCACACTTTCAGAGAAATGAAATGAGTCTTTCACCGTGTGCACGCCTAGCCGTTGACGAATAGGTTCCAACTTCTCCGCAAGCCAACGTGCCACCTTATGTTGGGGCGAGTTGATCATCGAAAGTATGGGTCTCAGGGGGACTTGTTCTTTGTGTATCTTCGGAACGCCATACATGTGTGGCAAGCGGGACCCTCGGGGTTTCAAGTCATTGTACGTGTTGTTGTCAATCAATTTCTTCTTTAGGAGATCTCTCAAGGCGTTTGTGATACGTTTTTCGACGGCATCTGTCTTATCTTTCTGGCAACTGTCAACTTTAAACCTCAACGGGTCATTTAACACAGCTTTCATCTTTGCGATGTAGTCCTCTTTGTCCATCAGCACCACACCTGAGCCTTTGTCAGGTCTCAATATAACAATTTTGTCATTATTCTTGAGAGCTTTCAATGCTCTTAGATGCTCTTCAGAAAGGACTTTGGAATATGACGTTGGAGAAATGAGGTATTGATTTGCAACGTCGACGAGCTTCGATTTGAACCAGCTCCTCTTGTCATCATCAACTGGAGTGAGGTCACTCAACTGGTAGAATAAGTTTTCGAATTGAACTGCGACATCAGTTCTTTCGACAAACTTATTTGGGATGTGAAAGTTAAATCCAAGAGAAAGTGCTTCCATTTCTATGCGATTTAACTTCAGACTCGACAGATTACAGATAAACTCCTCAGGATTTTCTGGGAAAACGTCACACAATTTCTCCTTTGTCAGGGATTTTGAGAGAGTTTTGTAAAATTCTTCACATGTTTTCTGTTGAAGTCCTTGGATGAAATTGATGAATTTGATGCGACATACTATACTCAAACTATTGACGACACCATCGAAAGATCGGGCTTCAGTTCTCAATTTAGAAATCAGAGATTCTGTTGATTCAATATGTGATTTTGTAATGCGTCGAAGATTCTTGAGAGATGGGGGTAATTTGCAAGAACGCAATGACTTCATGAGATGACGAGGAAAGCAGTGAGACCGCAAGCAATCATGATAAAACTTCAATCGAGTCACCTCTCTTGATATTCTGCAACGAATTGTCACCAAACGATCCAGTGACTTAAAAGATTCTCTGGGGAGGCGTTTTTTCAGAAATTTCATACATTTATTCCCCTTAATGAATTTGAACAAAGCAAGAACTACAGTTTTAGCAGAATAATGTGGTACCATCATTTATTTCGTCGGCTTCTCATTAGCTGCTTACAGCTTGAATATTTCACATGTCAGTTGACAGAAAATGCCATGCCTTTTTTTTCTACTCTCATCTGATTACGTAATCTTTGTCTTTAACCTCACCCTCCCTTTTATAATCTGTAGTTTTGCTTGTCTTTTGTTTCGATGATTTGAGCTCAACTCAGCACATTGTTACCAAACTTACTAGTCACTATGCATCAAACGCACATCTCATCTTTATTACGTAACTCCTTTAACATTTTTTGCATACGTTTATTTTGTTTAAACTTGAACTGCCTGTGTGAAAACTATATAAGCGCAATCTTCTGAGCACTGTTTACTAATTGTGGAATTTTCTGTCAACTGACAACATGTAAAATCTGCAAGTATGTTAAAACATGTCTGTACTTAAACCTCATAATTTATTTAGGCTGTGGGCAGATGATGAGAAGCCGACGAAATAAATGATGGTACCACATTATTCTGCTAAAACTGTAGTTCTTGCTTTGTTCAAATTCATTAAGGAGAATAAATGTATGAGATAAGTTATGTGACACTCGTTGCTGATTGAACTCTATCACTCAAGCCTGAAGATTGGCCAGTAAGTTGGAAGATTCATTATAACTGTGCACTTTGAATCAATTTTCGATAGTTTACTATTTGAGTGACCAGGTGACTCATACTCTTCCTTTTCTTAATTTTAAACTAGTGTCCAAATCCTTCACAGTCGCCTTTTTTTGAGGAAATTAAGTATTCGCTTAAAGTTTAATTATTCACAGTCATTTCCTTATATCTTTCGTGTAGTTATGCATATAATTTATCGTTACAGTTGTTGTCAGTGCTGAGGAACGTTCAAGCCTATTGTACGAATGCTTACCATCATTATTACGATTAGGCAGTGGATTTCCTAATCTAGCGCCTATAATTGCACGTCTTCTCCTATCAGTTGGATTGATGATTGGTTGTACAATGTCATCTGAATCTCGTCTAAGCTTAAGTCATCAATTTGAAAATTTAAACTTGAGTAAGTCTATGCATATAATGTATATTGGATTGTTTGTGTATTGATTTGATGAGTTTATGAATGCGGTTTCCATGCTTGATACGATTATATACGTAGTCGGTTGCCTAGGTCTTACTAAGTACCATTCAAATGCTAAATCCGGTGATTTAAGCCTTGGACCATATATATATATATATATATATATATATATATATATATATAATTTCCCTTGGGTTCTGAGGGGAACATAGGGCTTCAACAACACCCCTCCACTTTGTTCTAGTTTTTTTAGTTTTTTTTATTGAAGCTTCATTCGACACTGTATTTTTGGTACAAGTATGGAATGTTCAGCATGGATATCGGTAGCCCAAATTTTGCAGGTCGACCATAGATATCAGGTGTGCGCCGGCAGGGAATCGAACTTCCCCTTGGTGTTCTCCTCTTTAGCTGGATCCAGGATTGTCCATGATCTCTCATCTCTTCCTCTCATGATCTCGTCCATGTCACCCTCGCACCGACGACCCACTCATTGCTTCCCATTCGGGTTCCATTCTAGAGATGGCCTGCACTGCGCGCGATTTCTTTCGACTGCCTCCTCAACGTATACCAGATCCATTTTCATTTTCTTTTACAGATTTGTTGAGCGATCGGCTCTTGGTTGGTTTGTTACCACAGTTTTTTCTTACTTATTCTTTCTGGCCATTCGATCTTCAGTATGGTGCGAGCCAGTGAAGTCAGCTGTTGATAAAAGTCCGCAGTAGCCTGTTGGAAGTCCTTTTCGTGACACACAAAGTTTCTAACCCATGTAGAAGGATCGACTTCACAGTGGTTTTACAAAACCCAAATCTTGTTATTTATTCTGAGTTGTTGCCGAAGGTTTCCAAACTGGTTTCAGGTTGATGAAGGCGTGTCTTGACTTTGCGATTCTTGCCAGTTTTGACACCTTCATCCATTCCGAGTGCCTGTTGTTAAAACAATGTTTCCTAGGTAAGTAAAGGAAGTAATCTCTGTCAAATCTCTCCCATTGATGCTGATTGGTACTGGTTGTTGTTGCTGGTTGATTATCTTCATCACCTTCGTCTTCTCTATGTTCACCTGGAGTCCTGTCTTCGCTGCTTGCCTCTTTTGTCGGTTTGTTGGTTTTCACTTGCAAACCTTCGAGTTTGTGTGAAATTGGACATATATCATCTGCGAAATTCAGACCTTCTAGAGTCTTATCGTCGGTGATCCAGCGTATTCCTGTTTTCTCACTCCTCACAGTCTGACACATAATCCAGTCCATTACGATTAAGAATATCATCAGTGATAGTAGGCAGCCAACCTTGTCTTACTTCTGTATTCACTTCGAACGCCTCGCCAAGTTTTCCGTTGTGGATCACCTGGCATGTGGCATTGTCATATAGCCAGCTGTTGAATGAGGTTGATAAAGACTTGAGGTACGCCGTTGTGTTGAAGTAGTTTCCAAATTACTTCACGACAAATACTAACGAAGGCCTTTTCGAATATATATATATACTACTAGTAGTAGTATTTTAGGTATTTATGTTTTCAAAATTAAAGTTCACCTTATGTGACCTTGTAGACATTTTCACCGACAGTCTGTTATTCTTGGCATTAAAACTGTCTTGTTGGGAGGGGTGGTTCCTTTATACATGAAAGCTATGCCCGTGTATTATACACAAGACTGAAGACAGAAACTTCAAATACCTAGTTTTGGTTATTTGTAAATTCTGATAATAATAATAATAATAATAATAATAATAATAATAATAATAATAATAAACTAAAGCAGCATTGAATAGTGAAAAAAGAATACTCTTTCAGATATAATAAAGTATAATTATATTTCAATAGTTTACACACAATGATAAGTTTTTTTATTGGTAATTTTGCTCGAAATATTACCAATAAGAAAACTCGGGGCCCGGATTAACAACGACCGCGCTTCCTGCTGCCGTGTCACACAAAAAAGAACAAACAAAAACAGGCCGCGTGTGACTGGCTTCAAGTCTCCCCTGGGCTCTGCGGTCACGCATCCAAATTCCAAGGTGTAGGCAGCCGGGAAGTAACAGCCGCCCACACACTTCCAAAAGCACAGAATAAGAAAACTTATCATTGTGTGTAAACTATTGATATATAATTATACTTTATTTGACCTGATCCACAATGCTCAAACTTTTTACTGAAATCTTTCAGATATCTTCTTCTCCTTGTCATTGTTAGAACTCAGGTATTGGCGGAACAGACTTCTCATGTACACCATCAGTCTGTGAGCCACACTTGTTGTGTGCAAAAGTTGATGAGAATTTCTCTGGGTGTCGATAGCACAGTGGTTAGGACTCTCGCCGACCATGCAAATGGTCCGGGGTTCGATCCCCTGCCGACACACACCTGATATCTACGGTCGGCCTGCAAAATTCGGGCTACCGATATCACCTGCTGAAATTTCCATACATGTACCAAAAAAAAATACGGTGTGGAATCAAGCTCTAATCAAAAGTATAAAAAATATTCTATATTTTTCCTCATAGTATTGCTATGATAAGAAATCACAGGAACTTGTATGAACACGGTGATTACAGATATCGTCTGTCTGCTACCGATGTTGGTTATACAGCAACTGTTTTAGATGATTTCCCTTACTGCTAATTAATTGCAAAGATACTCTATCACCATAAACCAAAATAACGTCACTTTAATCCTCAGATGTTATTGAAGTATCTGTACTACCAGCCGACTTGTCTAACATAATCAGTCAACGCGAAATACAAAATTGAACCCTAGAAACAAAAATAATAACTGGTACTCGTTTCACAAGAGGTGGTTCCTATGATCTAATGGATAGTGCTTTGGTGGATGAAATGATCAGTGGACGGTTCGAGTCTCAGCACTAGTCACTGGGAATGCAGGTGTGTACACCCAGCTAACGAGGAAGAAATGCATATCCTGGATTGTAGTGCTAGTGACCATCAACCAAAATAATAGACACCTGAATATTCATAAGAATATGTCAGTTAACGCATAATGATAGAGGTTGTAAATGTTGGGCGTTATTTTCAAAGTTAAAATCAATAGGTTATCCACCCGTATAACTGTGAGAAAAGCTATTGCAGATTAATTCTAACTTGTCCATTTTCAGACTATAAACATCGATCTGTGTTCAAGTGTTGTTTGCAGGGATTTGATTGATTTCACGATTTCATCATGGCTGAAATCGGTTAGAGAACCATTGGAAAACACCTGAGAGTACTGAACAGTGGTTTTGTCCTAGTTTGGGACTCTTCATCAGAACGCACCTAATTTTCCAGTGGTTTTCTAGTCGATGCTTGTTCATGATGAGATCCTGAAGTCAGTTTGTGTGGCATGAATAACAAATTGCTCAGTGTGATGTGTATGGAACAGGACTCGAACACAGGACACATTGGTAGTGGTTATTGCCTGTCGAAATATTCAAGATACTTCTAAATTCTCCTGCAGACTACATACCGTGTTTGACACAAGAAATTCTAGAATTAATTTGATCTTTACAGTCACATTTTTCTCTTTCTGTCTTATCCTTGAAGTGCATATTTACTCTTTAGCAAACCCAAGATAGTCTCAATACGTCTTGTGTTTCCTCTCTTTGAGATGAAAGGGAAGTGTGATCGTCTGAAGCCGATAGGTAATCATACAAATCCTAGTACATTCCAATCGATAATTTGAAGTATAACTGCATTTCTTCAATTACAAATTATAACGGTCGACTTGTATTTGTGTGTTGTTTGATAACTTAACAACATAACATTTATACGACTACGTCACTCTATAGCCGTTTATACTTGGTGTTGCCAAAAATATCGTCTCTCGCCCATCGGTCTACTTTTTTCTGCCATTTGTTATTATAAAAACCTGTTATTTGTTGACTGGGGAAGGAAAGACTTCCCAAGTGGCTGTTTCCTTCGATATACGAACTTCTCAGAAGTATTTAAACAGTTTTCCTACTGTATGATATAGAATTAAATTGTACTTTTCAACATGTGGTCCATTGGCTCTTAAACAATTGACTGTCAGCAACACTGCCCCCTGAGTGTGGGCAACTGGGTAAGTAGTATTATCACCCCTCACACAATGAGTGTCGCTCATCACCCGCATACATTGAAAATCTGTTCTGGGTAACTGAGTTCTATTGAAGATTTTACTTCACAACACGAACGGATTGTATGGTTGTCTCACATTTAAAACAATACAAATTTGGTTAGCGAACACTAGTGATCACTGTTGCCTGAGTTTTTTGGTTGCTTGTACTGAAATGGCTAGAACATGCGTTGAGCATGCTAAGCCAGTGCCTTCCTTGATGAGCAGTGTAAGATGATATTGGTTTGAGGGGGGGGGGGAAGAATTGCGGTTGGTCAAATCAAAACCTAGAATTAATCCATCAAGCCTTTGATAGTTGGTTTTTAAGCCAAATAGGTAGGTATAGACTACCTGGTCGGAGTTCTCGAAATGCTCAAAACCAATAAATGGTGACTATCGGTGATATGGCTCGAGATCCTTGTTTTCAATGGCACACGCCTTCACTCTTTGTGATCTTTCCCCCTCCCCATATAGAGTGTGGCAAATTGAACTGTGCTGCACTTCTGTGCAAAGTTCGATGTTGAAACTCAGTTAGTCAGCTTATATTAAGTGATTATTATTATTATTATTATTATTATTATTATTATTATTATTATCAGTAGTAGTGTAACAACAGAAGACAAGGGCCAGGCAACAGATCGTTTTATTATGAAAATCAACACGTATTTATACATCTTTCAACTACATTATTATAGACAAGCGCAGTCATCTGATTGGTTGTTTAGGTAGACAAACGCAGGCTTCTGATTGGTTGTTTCGGGATTCCTTGACAAATAGAGTTCTCTCTGCGAATCATATTCTGCCACGTTAACTTTGCTGTGATTGGTTGTTGACTCAGGCTTGTTCATATTTTCTCACGGCCCATATTAGTGACCTAGACCTTAACGTAGATTAGTGCCAACCAATCGGCTAGCAGCCTGCTCTCACCACAGTAGTAGTACATCATAACTTGTGCGCTTACTTGAATTTAATACCCCGTTATGTTTGTATTTTTTGAATATGACACATAGTATGTTTAGCCGCAGTTTTCGTCTATGAAAATTATTATTCTCATTAATATTTCCTTATCTTTCAATGGCAATTTTTTTAATTTTAGATTCACATTCTGAAATTGGTGACATTTTCGACGAACAGATATCAGTTGTGGAGACAAGTGAACGTGATAAGATCTGCCTTTTATGCATAATGTCAACTTTAGATAAATTAGTTTGTCAGTGTTCAGCACAACGTTTTCTATACTATTCACCAGAATTAACAAACTAAAGCAAAAGAAAAACAATTGAAGGAATTTTTTATCGTTTCTACTTTGAAAGTTGATATCATTTCCTATGTGTACACGTACATGTATGTGTGTGTGTGTTTATTAATGTGTATATATACGTTGTTATTAACAGATTTATATTATATATCTCCTAACAAATAAACATTTGCCTTTTTGTACTGTATATTTATATATGGGCGTCGGTGGCACAGCGGTAGAATACTCGCCGACCACGCCTCATGTGGTTCACTCTTTAACCTCGCTAAGCCAGTAATAAGACTGGTAAAGAGGGAAGGTTGGGCGTTAGGCTAGCAACCCCATCCCGTAAAAGTAAACACTGGTGCTACCGAAACTTCAAGCCACCAGCTTGAAGCCCTATGTCCCAGTAGGAACGTGAAGGAATAAAATTGAAAATTTGAAAAATATTTACTGTATATATGTGTTGCGGAGTTTTTATTCCATATTAATTTGTTCATTAGATATACCACACAGTGAAGAAAGAGTATTATTTACTGGATAGCAAAGTTTTCGAACACAATTTTTTGCCGTGCATAATTATTTCATCAATTATAATCACACAACTTCGAAACTTTCGTTGTATAGTTTTCTTTATTCTTTCCTATATGTTGTAAGGGTAGTAGAATTTTCCAGATATCAGGGCGGAGAGATGTTGAATCACTCCTATTACACTTACAACAGGCGCTGACAGCAGTCTGAGAAGTATTTGTGATAGGTGGTCTGCCAATAGTATTCCAAAGTTTCTCTGATATAACAGTAATATCAGAAGCGGTATCTAGCTGCAGACGTGTATCATGACCATTCATCTGAAGATCAAGATATTTCCGCATACCTGGTGTTGTGACTTGACAGGTTGCGAGTAGACTCATTGACCTTTTTGAGGATTTAGGCCCAACAGTTGGTCGAGCTTTCGCTGGATTATGATATCTGGGTTTGCGTGGCTGACAAAAACCATTTTTATGACCGATGATTTTGCACTTGCTGCAACGATGATTTTTGTATGGACAGGACTTTACAAAGTGCCACGCGCCACAATGCCAGCATGGTGATGGTGGGGTCTTCTTTGCAGTACTTTGTTAAGTTGGACTAGTATGTGTAGATTTACGCGGAACATTAGGAGAAGGTGGGTCAGGACTGGATGATGAAGAGAGATTTTCGCTCTTTCGTAATGCACAAATATCAGAGCTTCTCGAAGGTGTTGATTCGACCAGGTGTGTGTCTTCCTGCAAATTAATCAGCCGTTGATATTCATCAGCTATGTCATGTAATGTTAACTTAGGATTTTGCTCTAGCTGATTGAGCAGTCGAGTTCGGATATCTGTGAAACGAGGAGATTGAAGACTGTGCATGAGAATCAAGGCTTTGAATTGATCATCTGTTAAAGACCTGAGTCGAAATCTCTCACATTCTCGGTTGACTGTGCCAGCATTAGTAAGAAAATCATCGTTTTCATTCATTGTCAGCTTGAGGCAACGATAACGTATGCTGAATAATGAGGAGTGGTCTCCAAAATGTTCACGCAGCAGCTTTATTGTATCATTGAAACACTTGTCACGTGGTTTTTGGGGTAAAATTAGGTTGCAGTACCGTTCATATTCTGCGGGACCCAATTTACGTAACAACACTCGCACCTTCCAAGCATCGTCTTGTGAGGCGAGATCAACTGTGAGTAAATCCTCGTAGCGTTGATACCATGTGTCAAAAGTGACGTTAGCATCTGGATCATAATTGAATTGTGTGATACTATTTACAATTCTATCGGCAGATGGTAGCATGGTATGATTCGGATTGCTTGAAGGTGAAACTGAACCATTCTCCAATCCTCTAGATTTGAAAACACGGTGATCGACAAATATTCTCATCCTTATGAAAAACTAGTATGAATACACTTTACAATATATTGATTTATGAAGAATAAGTCGCAAGTCTAGACACTGAAACTTTCTAGACTGTGTATTTCGATTTAATAAAACTCTAGTTAAAAGTCAATCTGAACGAAGAATATTCTTTTCAATAATTTCTCTTCAGGTTCTTACAATTATAAAATATAATATTTGTTGTCGTTACAACAAAGGCCAGTTATGCGGCGGATACAATTTTTTAACGTAGAATAACAGATTAGTTATGGGGCGTCAAAATAAATATATATATACGACTGTACAGCTTAATGATAAATTCGTTGAAAAGAGTCTCTTCGCTGAATCACTTGTTTTGATCTTCAAAATGAATAGTCGTATTTGTATGACAAACGTGCTAGGCCGAAATGGATTACAAAATATTTTAAAACGGGAGACAATAGTGGTGATTAATCATAATAGATTTGTAGAGTGTGGGATAGGAAAATTGACAAATCAGTTCAAGGTTATAAAAGGTGTCAGGTGAGTGAGTGGCTAGTACAAAGTGGTCTGTGTTAAACAGTAGGTAGTAAGACTGTAATGAGAGGTTCATAATGAAATAACGAATATGTGAAATGAAACAGGTGGAGGCCTATATTGAGAAAAGAGATAATATCACTAATAATAAACGAAAAATCCGATAGTATTGAGGGAATGTTTGCATGAAGGGCATAAATTGTGACGAATAGTAATATTTGTAATAATAAGCAAAGGATAACAAAAAAAACCAAGAGGGTTAAGGGGAAGAAGCACTCTTGGTGAGAAGAAGAATCCTCAATCCAAGTTTGGCCATGGTAGGAAGAGCGTCTGGACGTGTTCTTTTTGGATACAAACTTCCGGTTTAGTCGATCTTATTGCAACAGATTCAGCTATGTTTAGGAGATGTAGGCGAACTGTACGTGATAACGACTTCGGAATTTGGCATATAACCCTGAAAGCTGTGTTCACATCGATACGATGTCCAGTACTGACCAAGTGTGACAGGATCGAGCTTTTTATGCACTTAATTTCCCCATGCTGAACCAAGCTGGTAAGCGTTCTCGAACCCGTAGACGAACCTGCTTAATCGTGCGCCCTATATAACTTGAACCACAGGAACAGTTGAAATGGTATATGCATGAAGAAGAGCTAAGGTTAGGTAAGACATCTTCGAGTTGCTAGGTGAACATTGGACGGCTACTGAAGGATAGACACAGACCTGCAGAGTAGAGTGTTTTCTTGATCTCCCTGGTTAAACGTTGCGATAGAATCCCCGCAGGAGTATCTTCCTTGAATTATAGACGTAAGCTCTAGTTGATAAAAGAGTTAAACTAGTCTGCAAATGGATAAGATTTTATTTTGATAAATCACACACAGTGTTGTACAGTTATATTAACTGATGACGTTTCGAGCACAAACTATTGCTCATAATCATATCAAGTAACTCACACAACTTTGTTCTTTCATTTATATACATGTGTGGAATCGATTAGATATTGGATTAAAAATCAATGTGAGATAATGTCCATTCAGAAATAATAGTACTAGTGTTACTGACCCATTACAATTATATGGGAAATACGAATGTTTTATACCAGTGTTTTTTTATAGTCATAATACGTTACTTGTTAGAATGTTTTGATGTATTTGAATTGAAATAGAATTTTAAGATTATTTATTATCTTCTTCTGATTTGACTTGAGGTAATAATATCTTCCATATTTCTGGTATTTGCATTGAGTCATTTCTGTTGCATGTGTTGGGTGTAGACTCGATGAATAAGGATTCCGTAATCAACCTCTCTCTCCACCTACCTATATTACTTTTTAGAATTTTAACCCTATCCCACCCTATTGTGTGGTTTTTTGTTAATGCGTGAAGTGCAATAGCTGAGCTTTTCTCTAAATTACTCATCTTTTCAGAGTATATAAATGAAAGAAAAAAGTTGTGTGAGTTACTTGATATGATTATGAGCAATAGTTTGTGCTCGAAACGTCATCAGTTAATATAACTGTACAACACTGTGTGTGATTTATCAAAATAAAATCTTATCCATAATGGAGTTATACTCTACCACAGTGCCCAAGTTTTATACTCATATCAATAGTCTGCAAATGGACCAATCAAAATTCAATTTATACTAACCACAATTAATCGTTGGACTGACAAACGGCCAATCAGCTTTATTCAGCGTAAAGGACCATTATTTCAGGGAAGTATTATTTAGTCCCAGTTTATATAACATACATCCAGGTTTCTTGTTTGAATACACGTTAAACTGATCCGAATACATTTATGTTAGTAAGTAGGTTTAGGGAATCAGCTAGGAAGCTGTGCGACCTTTTTGGTCTATATTTACGTATAAACGAGAGGTTATAACAGTTTAGGAATGACTAGACAAATATGCGATCTCCAAAATATGACCAAGCTTATTGTACATACTTATCGCTATTACCGAAGCTAATTGGCCGCACACTGCAATGAATCTATTTAGTATTAAATGTAGCTAAGAAACCTGCACATAACTTCGTACCTGATTTTTGTTGTCGCTGACAGTTACCAGCAAGGCCTAATTGAAACACTGATGAAAGTTTCCTCTCCTCCATAAATAGTTTTTAAGTTAAACAAATTAACCAATAAGATATTCAGGTTACGAGTGATCCTCTGAAGGAGTGGATTATTTCTGTTGTTTGGTAACTAATGTAGATGTCAAATTGTAACTCCTATTTGAAATCTGATGCAAACAAAAAAGATGTGTCACTTCAACTGGATTCAAGTTACTTAGCCTAAAATGTACTGTATAATATTTGCTTTAACATTCATATTTCATAAAATTCTCCTGAAAAATATCAGACGACTTGATTTCTTCTTTTGAAGAGGGCATTCAAGCAGAATTTAATTGTATCTACAGAAAACTTTAAATTTTATTTCATCACCGTGCTTTCTTCGGTCAACCAACAATTCTGCAGTGTTCTGAAGACTAGCTGTGTAATTCCTGTTTATCTTAACGTACCTCCACCCCCACCCCATGAAACTGTTTAGGAACACTAAATGTTAACAACGGAACAACACGGGCATCATAATCATTCCCGAATGATGGCTTTTATGGA